TGGATGGAAAGAGGCCCTTCCTTGCTTTCAAGGTTTCGGCATTAAAAGTCAAAGGATTCTTTGTTTAAGTTTAATAATAAAGTAAAGGAAATCGGCCTGCTCTTCTCTCTTTTCTCTATTGAACTATGGAAAGCACTTTATAGTAGCGACACGGATTCACCACAACTTATGACTTCGCCAATGGGGCAAACGAAGGCTAACCCGTTCTGGTTGTTATGACTGGCAAGAATCGGTAGGTTCTTTCAGTGCGCTTTGGTCCTTCTTACAGAGACTATCCTTTGTATAAGTTATGATCCATCCAAGGAATGAGCTTCCCCAGAGTAAAATCCCGTGGACTACAAGGAAAAGATAGAATCTCGCCCGGCAACAGCAGCTGATTCAATAGCAGATGGTCTTGGAAAGAACCTTTCATTCGATGCTTCTGATTCAACTCCCAGACAACCAAGGAAGTATGCGCGAAGATAGGGTTAGCCCCTGCGGCAAGCATTATCCGGGAACGAGAATTCTTTGTTTCAGTTTTATAATAAAGTAAAGAAAATCGGTCTGCTCTTCTCGCTTTTCTCTATTGAACGAATATATGCGATTTTGATAACAATTGAAATTGTACTAATCAATTAGATAAATACAAGTATGAACCCTAAACATCTTGACGATCGAAGGTAAAAGCATTGAATTTTGCTAAATTAATTTTTTGATAAAAAGGATCCATTAAGCCCTTGTAGTAAAAAATAATCAAACACATAATATTGAATTCCAAATTTAAAAAAAGTTTTTCCAAAATAATAGTAGACAAGACTATAATTGCTTTAAATTTTGTATGATCTATAAGTGTTTTTTGGCATTTTTGTGGAATTGTGTATTCTTTAGTCATACATATAGAACATGGCATACTTTGTATAACAAGCAATAAATAAAATTGGAAAATAATCACCATCAATGGTGCAATAAAGAATTTTATGTAGCTAGGGAGCACTCTATCCTTTTAATAGGCTTTAAATAATTTCCAATATGACCATACTACTGGAAGGAATTTACTTAGTGAAATTTCACAAATAAGATCGGAAGAAAATAACGGGTACACAAGACCCTATTTTATATAGATAGAAATATTGTTTTTAAAGACAAATTATCAATTAATTAGTTAACCAAAAAATATTAAAAGCAATTTTATTACTAGCTAGGCAATGTTGCAATAATAATAATAATAATAATTATACTTAATCAACAAATTGAAAATCATATGACAGAAAATGTTAAATCATGATTTAATTTATTTTTGTAAGTTATTCAAACGTCACACAATAGTTAAATAATTTGTTTATAAAATTGAGAAAAATAACCAAATATTAAATTTTGAGTGTACTGTTATCTCGAAAGGTAGTTTTTGTAAGGATTATATGTGCTGCTTTTGAAAATAGACAAAATTTAAATTTTAGCCAACAAGAGATATATATGTGTAAATTGGTCAATCACAACAGTATCCATGATAAGAGCCCAATTGAACTCAAATATGTATTGGTAAGCTAGGCCCAAGGGACGTGATGTCTATGCTACATACAAGTTCTACGCGAGTCTTTTGGTACGAGGAATAAAGAATAATAATTTTAGATTAAAGTAAAATGATTTTATTTTGTATTTAGTTAGAAGCATTTATTAATTTCGTAAATAACATCATATTAATTATACTATAATAATGGGAAAGTTATATCAATATATATATATATATATACACACGGTGGAATAACTAATCTTATGTAATATTCAATCCGAAACTCTCGAGATAATTTTGTCTTTGTCTTTGTCTTTCTCATCCTCATACCAAACAAACTCTGTACTAGTATTGTATACGAAAACTATTTTCTCATAATAGAGCTTCAAATATCTTATTACAAAATTTATTATTTTGATTTATAGTAATTTACCAAATCACAACATAACCTAAACTTACAAAATTGACGTGTTTAGATATTTAACAATATAAATAGTGAAATTGAGTGGCAAGATATTTAAACTTGTGGGCTATAATCTTTAATAGACAGTAGCTTTATAAATATCATATAGTAATTTGTTTTATCATGCAGATGACCATAGTAATCTCTAATTTTAGCCTCTTTTTTAAATCATATATTGAATGAATGATTTTATTAAATATAATTAAAAAGAGTTTTATATTATCATCGGGAAAGGTCAGTGGGGAGACTAGTAAAGGTTTTCACTTGAGGCCCCAGAAAAAATGTTTGATAAAGTATCAAATTTATTAAATTCGTAGGTACATACGACTTTGAAAATAATTGAGATTACATATAAATCAACTAGAATACATGAACAATAACCTAAAAAAATCCCCAAGGTTTAGAGTAAAAAGATCAGATTTATTAAATATGCTTAAATTCCTTAGGAGAGTACATCTGATAAAATTAAATATATAGTTAAGCCCTAACAAGTACACATTAGTTTGACACCAATTAAAAATTACACTAATCGACTAGATAAGTGCATTCTACATAAACAAAAAATGATTATTGTAGACAAGACTATAATTGCTTTGAGTTTGTTTTTTTATATATAAAAATTAATAAATCGTATGTTTTTAATTGGTAATACGATTTACTTTTTACCTTTTAATAAATAACAAAAAAAAACATACTATCATCATCAAGGGGTGTGAATAAGATTGAACCGTGAGACTTTTGAGTCGAAAACGTTTTACCTTCACTTTGACTTAATTAAATGAAATTGTGTAAACGAAAGTAGTGTACATGAGAAAAGTCCAATTGAGTTTGAACATTTGTAAACTAGGTAGTGATGTAACCACATACGACGATGAAAAGAATGGTCAGTTGAATATCCTTTATCGAAAATTATATTATATATATAAAAGATTATACAATGTATATAAATCACAAATTACTTTTCATACGTATATACTATTTCTTAAATATTTTTCGCTAAATTTCCGACTTAGCCACGATTTAAGCCTACTGGACGTAGTGTCTATTCCCCATACACTGCTAAAAAAAAAAAAAAAACTATGCCCCCATACACGATACAACTATTTTCTTATTAAAGAGCTACAAGTAACTTATTGCAATTTTTGTTATATTAATTTTATATTATCGATGCAATTATGACTTTTTTTCTTCCAATAATGTAAATAAAATATTTAACTACCATTTTCTTTCATCCAGGAATATCTAATTACCTAACTCATAAAAAGTTGCCAATTTTTCAAAATGTAAAAATCTCTCTTGAACTTCTCGTACCTTTATTAATTCACATGAATATATCGAAAATCTTGGAGAAAGTCTCTATAAAAGGAAAAAGATATTTGCTAATTAGATAATAAGTAACATCTCATTAATTGACAAGTAAATTGTATCTATTGAAATATCTCAAAATGAACAATAGAGGGTAACTTATAATTATTTTTTTTGAATTTAAGGAATAAAAAATGTTTGATTTGAATTGGGAATATAAGGAGTAGAAGGTCGAGTTCCCGTATGGATGATTAAATAAGACTAAAATTTGATCTTATGTTATATAATGTCATTATTATTTTCCCTTTTATTTATTTATATTAAAGTTACGTTACATAACACGAAGTTATAACTGACACTCAAAGTCCTTAAGCAAATACAATCTCATTGTATTGCTATAATATCATGATTTTTCATAATTCCATACTAAAATTTGATCTTATATTTTCCATACTAAAACTTGATCTTATATTATCTCATGTCTTGATTTGAAATGGGAATATAAAGGGTAGATGGTCAATTTTTCGTATTTATGATTTAATTAAAGATTAAAATTTGATCTTATAGTATTTCTTGTCATTATTATTTCTCCTTTTGTTTATGTTATATAACTGACCCTAGAAGTCATTAAGTAAATGGATTAAATTATCTATTTATCTCTTCATAATTTGAAAGATTGATTAATGATTCTCTAATTCATTTATCTTATTTTTGGAAAAGTCAATATGTTTAAAAGAGGAATATTTATCTAATATTGGTAATGAATTTGGGCTTATTTTCTTACAAATATTAGGAGTATGATTTTCCCACTTTATTGTAATAAAAATTTGTATCATACGTAATTTCTAATAATTATTATCACGAGACCTTCCATTTTATGAAATTTATTCACACTATATTATACCAAATTAATAACATGGCGTGTGTGATCTTTTGCACACCTAGGAATAGGATCAATAAATAAAACCACAGTTTTGATGTACATATATTATATTATATTATATTTTGATGTAATAAAAGTATATATTATTTTGATGTAAACACATTAGGTATATTATTTTTTATGCAGTGTTCAGTTTTATGTGTTAAAATAAGTATGCACTACATAATTTTTAGAAGAAAATATTTGTTTTCAAAACTACCTTCTATAAATACAATGAAAATAATGTTAAATTTTTTTACGAACAATTATTTCTTTAAATATATTAATGTATGCTTTAATTTCATTGCATTACTAATATCATATTCATATTATAATATCAAATAAAATGTTATAACTGTTACACAAAAATAATGCATGCAATATTTTTTTCTAATGCATCCTACCAAACGATCGAAATGAAATAGGATCCGAAGAATAGTAGTAAGGTGAATAAGTAGATGGTCTAAATATTTGTTAAATATACTTCAACTATAAAATCCAACTCTTTTTATCCTTTCATCAACGGTAATTGAGTACTAGATTTAAAAGGCAATAAAAAGATCCTCAATAACTCTTCTCCTTACGTTTTATTTAAGGGCACAGGATTAAAATATTAACTATATATAATAAAACCTGCAATATTATAAATATACTATGATTCTCGTTCAAAGATTTCAATTTCCATCTCCACACAATCTTCCATTTTTATGAAAACTTAACATAAATACGACAATATCATACATTATAAATTGTAATACTCTCTTCATAACAAACATCACTTCATCAACAAACATTATTGAATCTAAGAGTGAAAAAAAAACATGGATGCTTCAATGGAGATCAATCAAAAGTCGATTCGCGTTCTTATGTTTCCGTGGTTAGGACATGGACACATCTCTCCTTTCTTTGAGCTAGCTAAAAAGCTCGTTAAGAGAAACTTCACTATTTTCTTATGCTCAACACCCGCGAACTTCATATCTATTAAACAAAAGCTCATCAATGAAGACTTAACCGAAAAAATCCACCTTGTTGATCTTCGACTTCCATCTCTTCCTGACCTACCTCCTCATTACCATACCACCAATGGTCTTCCTTCCCACCTCATGTCCACTCTCAAGAAGGCCTTCGCGAAGGCTCGTCCAATTTTCACTCAAATTATCAATTCTATCGAGCCTGACTTACTTATTTATGATTTACTTCAACCATGGGCACCTAAGGTAGCCGCGGAGAAAAACATTCCATCTGTTGTTTTTGTTACTAGTAGCGCGACTATGTTCTCCTACATGTTTCATACTTTTAGGTACCCTAACTCAGAGTTTCCTTTCTCTTCTATTTATTATCGCGATTATGAGCTAGCACGTATGGTTAAAAATCAAGAGTTGGAGCCAATTGAGCAACAACAAAAGGATAACACTAGTGTTAAGTTGTGTTTCAAGAGGTCTTCTAACATTGTTTTGATCAAAGGTTTTAAGGAAATTGATGGTCAATATTGTGACTATATATCTAGTTTGACTAAAAAGAGAGTTGTTCTTGTTGGTCCACTTGTTCAAGAACCAACAAGTGAAGATGGTAATTCACAAATTTTAACATGGTTGAATCAAAAGTCAAAAGGGTCAACTATTTTTGTGTCATTTGGGAGTGAATATTTTTTGTCACAAGAGGATAGGGAAGAGATTGCTCATGGGTTGGAGAAAAGTAGGGTTAACTTCATTTGGGTTGTGAGGTTTCCGAAAGGTGAGAAACTCAAACTTGAACAAGCGTTGCCACGAGGCTTTTTCAAGAAAGTAGGTGAAAGAGGGATGGTAGTTGAAGATTGGGCCCCACAAGCAAAAATATTAGGAAACCCTAATATTGGTGGATTTGTCAGTCACTGTGGATGGAATTCTGTCATGGAAAGCATGAAAATTGGTGTGCCAATAATTGCTATGCCAATGCATCTTGATCAACCATTGAATGCTAGGCTTGTGGAAGAAGTAGGTATTGGATTGGAAGTTGTTAGGGACAAAGATGGAAAACTTGATGGAGAACAAATTAGTGAAATTATCAATAAGGTTGTTTTGGAGAAAGAAGGAGAATCCATAAGGGAAAAAGCTAAGATAATGAGTGAGACAATAAGAGTCAAAGGTGATGAAGAGATTGATGATGTTGTTCAAGAATTGTTCAACCTTTGCAAGACTAGATCAAATGTTGTCTAGTTTTTCATGATTTGCATGTTTTTTTTTTCTAACTTAGGTTTTTTCTTTTTAGTTTTTAATTACTACCATGCTTTTGAACTTAAAGCATGTGTTGGTGGAGTACTAAATTTTTTTGTACTCCTTAATTTAGGTCCTTTTTTTTTGCTATGATGTTAATCTTAGCTAGCTAGACAAATTAACCATTAGTTGTGAATGATTGATTTGAGACTAGCAAAGATCATAATGTCAAAGTTTGCATGAGTTTAATAAAATTAAACTTTTAGTTTAAGTTTTTGCAATTTTATTTTTGTTAATTGTGTACAATTTTTATCGTCATATTGGCACTGTAAAATATTTAGTTACCATTTTATTTCATCCGATAATATATATTGAATTACGTAACTCCAAAAGAAATGCCTATTTTACAAATGTAAGAATCGTCTCTCGTTTGCTTCTCTTCCTATATATATATTTAATAACTTAAAGGATTATTTTGATAATTTTGTTGCAAAAGGAAAATGTATATACATTAATATTAGCATTGATTATTGTCAAATTGTTTCCTTGTTTGTTTTAAAGCAATAATTTTAAACAGGATATGCTAATTAGGTAATTTACTGATTTTAACCCAAAAAACGTTTCACTAATTAACATAACTTATAATACTAATTTTTTGTTATAGTTATTGATGAATTATCACCAAATGACATGTCAAAATTTCATTATTAGTTTTAATCAAATGAACTAATTTCAAATTTCTCTCACAAAGGCAATTTGCAATTTGTTATTTTAATTACTAGTCAAATTTCTCGAAGCAAAAGAAATAAATTGCCTGTTTATTTGTTCATAATTTTATTTATTAACTTATGATTTAAGGAATTGAATTTTCCATCATATTTATATATTATTTTAGAAAAGTCAAGTAGATTAAAATAAAGAGGAATTCTCCAATGGTAAGCAATTTAAGTTATTTTCCTTGCTAGCATTAATAATAATAATATATGATTCCCGGTTTATTATAGTATATAAATATGCAGTTTACCTAATTTACATTAATTATTACGAAGATCTTCCTCAAAAAATTGCACAAAATCTATTGCATCATATTTATTTGTATTTTGTGTTTAGAATATATATTATATTTTTTAATAAAGATTCTCAAAAGAATAGCTTCTTAATTTTTGCGTGACAATTAAAGGAAAATGAATTAGAAAAAAAGATGATTTCAAAGGAAAGGAAAGAATTCAAATAAGTTACAAAATATGTGGTCTACCTAATATAACGCATGAAATTAAATTGTGGATATAATTGCATATTTATTTATTTCCAATCGAACATGAATCAAGCATTACCTGCCCATTTACCCTCCAACATTTATTATTTCAACGCCTTCAGCGCGCGAGCCGAATGACGTAGATGCAGAGGAATCATTTTCAATTCCAACGTATTTCAAATGCATTCAATCATATATATAAATCTCGAATATCTCATAAATTTTCGGAATATTCAAAAAAATAAAATAACCAAGATATCAAGTATTTGATTATTGGTATTTAATAAAAGATTACCATGGATAAGATTATATAAGATTTAAATAAAATAGTGATGATTCATACCATTAACTCCAATTTATGTGTGATTGAAGTGTAACTTAAACGTAATTATTATTATTATTATTATTATTGTTATTAAATTATGACAAGGCACTTTAGGTACGTGTTGACCTCACACTTCCTTTATCACCTCACAAACAAAAAATGTAAGCAAAAACTATTAACCATAAGCAAAATTCATGTGATATTAATTCCAAGTTAAAGAGATGAGAGAAAAACATGAATGCCACCTATTCATGATTCATATATATCCCTTAAGAAGCTTAAACGTGGACTCCAAGAAATAAATGTAAATTCATATATTTAACTAACTTTTTTTTTTCTAAAACACATTTTTTTCCCTTATTAGGAAATTAAACCTTTAAACATAATCAATACTCCCAAAAACATATAAGGAAAAAAAATATCATTTACAAGGCACTCATTGTTAGTAAATTTCATCTTTAATTTATTTATTTATTGGGTAATGTAGCAAAGCTAGTGATATAACCCACATGAATTGTGTGGTGATGTTAGGTTGCTCTCATTATATCTAACATGGATTAATTTTCTCTCTCAAAATAACAGTAATATCTTTATCTAAATAAACTTAGCTTACTTAGAAAATTAAAAAAAATACTCTAATGGACTATTAGTAAGACTCTTTTTACAATCTTGGAGAGTAGTCCTTATGAAATCATAAATAAGAAGAATATTTATATTAATTTACCTTTTTAACTCTTTTTCATACCCTCATGTGTGTTATCCATCACTACCTAGATTAACAACAGAGGAACTTTTTTTGAAAATTTATAATATTTGTACTTTCAAAAAGATTTATTAAAAGCACAAAATGATAAAATTTAACTAAAATTTGCAATTTGACAAGTAATTTAGGACGTATATTCTTTGTAATGTGGATAAATAATATAGGACAAAGTTTTTTTTCCTTTCTTGTGTGTGTGTTTTCCCATCCAATATCCGGAGTCCAAATTGAAGTCCCGATAAAATCAGAATTGCACACTATAGGGCTCATTAGGATTTTCTTGGACTCGAGGCCTCGATTTAGCATGATGTACAGTGTATACTGTGGACGCGGTTGTTTAATTAGTCAATGGAGAAGTTACTACTTTGCTAGAAGGATGCTTTACACGTATAGGAGACGCAAACGTGTTATAAAAGCTATATAAATCTTCAAAGTCACAAATTATTTCTGTTTTTAAAACTTAATTTGCTTTTTTACAACAAACAAGGAAACAACTCATATATATAAAGATAATAATCAGTTGCTTTCAGAGTTTTTATATTCTGAAAAAAAAAAACATTTTCAATTCTCCTAATTCTTTCAACATACATATACATGCATCTAACGAAAAAATTGGTCTGGTTCAAGTCGAAATCGACTCTCCGAAATCAACGTAAGTTTCATATTCTTCTTTTTCTTGCTAATTATAGACTTTTTTTTTAGATGTATGGAGCATTCATGCTGAATTATTGTTGTAATCCTATGTTTAATCATGCAATCGTCTTATCTGAAAAATGTGATAAAATTGTTAGAGAGAGCATACTTTTAATGTTTGATGCGATTTTTTCAGGTAGAATAGAGAATGACGGTTCGGGTAGCTTGGTGAACAAGTTAAATGTGAATGAAGAGTATGTTCAAGCCTTGAGGACTAAGTCTTATGTAGAACTATACAATAAAGTTCAAGAACAACTTGAAGATGGAAAATTAAACGAATCATCGTCTTCTTCTCTTCAACTCGATACAAATCTATGTCAAGAAGCGTTATTAAAACTCCCTGAATCATGTCAACTTCATCCCCTTATTGTTAACTACTTCGATATTACCTTAGAAGCATGCAGAATCTGTGAATTACTACTTCAAAATGTTCAACAAACACGAGCTAATTATAGGAAGATAAGAAGAGCTATCAGATTGATGACAATAGAGCAAGAATCAGGGCATTGTTACAATGTATATAGAGAACTTGCATCATTTGCTTCGTTAAACAACTCTTTCTCTGTTGGTAACCAAGTTCAGATTCTGGACACACGCGAAGGACATGATTTATTGCTTCAGAAACTATCGTTACAGTTCAGAAGAGTTAACAAGAGGATGAAAATCTTGAAAACTTGCAAGAGGGTGTTTGGAATTAGTATTGCAATAGGATATACTGGGATTATGATAGCTTTGTTAGTACTAGTTCTTCATAGTATGGTTGGTTTGATGGCTGCCCCGGGGTTGATAGCTTGTTCTTATAAGCTATTCAAGAAGAGATCAAAGGTAGATAAAGGGGGAAAAGGTTCGAGTTCACTGGAAATACTAATAGCACAGCTTGATGTAGCTGCAAAAGGGGTGTACATATTGATAAATGACTTTGATACAATGAGTCGGCTAGTGAGGAGACTATATGATGAAATTGAGCATAATAGATCTGTAGCTGATATGTGTGCTAGAAAGAAAAATGCAGATATGTTGAAGGAGGCGATAAGGAATTACAGTATTAACAAGGACTGCTTCATGGAGAAGTTGAAAGAGCTTGAAGAGCATGTTTTCTTGTGTTTCCTCACTATAAACAGATCAAGAAGAATGGTTCTACAAGAAATGGTCAGCAGATGAGTTAAGTGCAATTTATTGAATCAAAAATGACAACAAAGACGAGTAAATTTTTCGTGTTTTTGTCTTTAATAATGGAACAATTCTTTTCCTCCATTTTGTTTTCTTGTAAACTTAATGGAGGTCATAACAAGTACAAATTCTTCTCATTTTTCATGTTCTAGCAAATTAGTAAAATATAATAGACATGTTACATTTTCATATAGTAACTACGGACTATACGTTTCTTTATCATATCGCTCTGAAAAACAAAATATGGATTGATGAAGCAATGTGGACAAGTAAAACTCCACCCCATCCAAATAATACACCATAAAAGTACAAATAAGAACGTTAATTAAGTTTGACACTATTCTTCTGTATGCCAATAACAAAAGTGTAGTGAAGTAGTAGATCTTACTGTTACAGAGAGAGAGCATCGTGCAAACTTTTCCAACAGCATACACTCCAATCCTGCAAATGCTGCCTTCAACGAGCTGATTTGCCACCTTGCTTGTTTATAATTGCAACGTATCCTTTCTCAACTCTCTATATTCTTCAATGCCCAGCAAAGTTGTCTTGGCCTTGATCCAATCCGCGGGCCTTGGCATCATAATTGCAATATATCCTTCTCTGTCTGCCTGTGGTTGAAAGCAAACACGAGGAACACATATTCAACCAGAAATGTAATTATAATATTAGGAGGAGGATGTCCAATGAAACAATTATTGGCACAATCAAATGACACAACTTAATGCCACTCGGAACATGTCTATGAGAAAGCTCTTTAAATATTAAAACGAAAGAGACAAAAACAGAACTTTTATTATGGAGGTCATGCATATCCTATTTTCAGCTCCTTTTATCAACATCAAGCAAAACAAGGTGTGAATTCAGCATCAAACATTTCCAGGGATTAAAGAAATACGAGTCTGCAACTACCTGATGAATCAAATATATCTTCTTTTTTAAAATAAAACTCATGCAAAACATTTAGTTCTATTCTGAAAAATCAGCCAAAGATTTTTTTTTCGAGCTTCAATGTAGTACTACAAGTGATGGTTCCAAGATCTTTATCATCACAAATATAAACATTTGCTGACAGCATTGATATGATGACTCCATAAACAAACGATGCTCATTTCAATGAAGTTCGGCGTCTAAAAGCCAAAATGAAGAAGAGATTGATTCAAGGTAAGAACTCCTACCGATGAGTTCAGCAATTCTGGTTGCTTAATTAACCTATCATTGACTTCTAATAAAGAGCCTTTCACACAACACCTGCAAAACATGAGTAGACCATCTTTTTTTGAGACAATCTATGTCAAAGAAAGGAGTGCAAGAATATAAACTCATACCTCACAATATAAGAAGCACCCTTTGTGCAGGCTTTACATAATGCTGTATTAGACTCAAAATGTTGCGCGTTCTGCATAAGAACAAAATGACACCCTCGTTTCAATAAACTAGAAGCATAAAAGCATTGAAAGATTAGCTTTACTTGCACAGTTCATACTTTTGTGCATATGTAGCAAATGGTGGTACGCTGCAACGATGACTTGTGTTCTCTATGTAGCCAACAAAGTATGTTGTTTCAAAAGACTGAAGAATGTACATATGTTCATATTTCATAATTTCAATCATTTGTTTTGCTGACGATAAAGGGTATTGAACTAATGAATGTAACATAATCCACACATATATTTACTGCTGACAAGGCAATTCCATATGATGAATATCTTGCATTGTATGCTAATGTTCAGAAAGTAATCCTTTGTCAAGTTCGCAAATAGGCAACACTAGAAATTTGAGTAATATCTCACACGAAGCTATCCAATATTAACTAAACATAGACAAGGGAGCAAATTTAACTTGTTAGCTTTTCTTCATAGGGAAAACAATAAGAAGTATGTTCGACATATTTTCAGAAGAAAGCCATCCCTTATGATTCTTAGCATACTTAAAACTCTAACAAGTTCCGTCAATCATAAAATTAAAGTCAACTTCTATCCAACAACATTTGTGGAGATTAATCTAGCTACAACACAACTAATAAGTTATAAAATTGCAATGACTCACATGAACAAACGTCTTCACCATAAAGATGCAATTTTTTTTTCATTTTTGATTAAGTTCAGCAGAAAGATGCAATCTTTAGTCTCATTCAAGTAAAATTCAGCTATTAATACCTTTTTTCGCTTTCCAGAGACCTTGATTCCACTCCGATCAGACTTCCCCACATTGAAATCAACCGAAGTAACTCCGCCTTCATCCTTAAAAGCAATGTGGGTCGGAGCCAACCCAATTATGCACAATCTTTCAATAACCCAATTTCAAAAAATCAGCAAAAATTCAAAGCAGCAACTAAATCACAGTAAAAACAAAGCACGAAGAGTTTAATTACTAAGTTCTGTTACCCATTGGCATGTCGATGAACATACTGATCATGCCCAGGTTTCGTAAAATCTGCAACAACAATTAAAAAGGAATACAGCTCTTAATTTCTACAAGTTTGAGTTCTGAACTACTTAATATCGAACAAGGCAGAGCATTAATTTAAAAGAATTTGAAGTGGGTTTTATTACCGGGAGCAAAATAGGTGACGAAATTGGATTCGACAGCAGAAGGAGGAGAAATTGGGAGGTTTTCCAACTTCGGCACCAAAAGTTTCCTTAATTCTTCATCTTGTAGGTCTTCAATTAGTGGTTCTGATTTCTGGGCTGTGTCCGAATGAGAGCAAGCAACTATTGTCGGTTTTACGTTTTCGAGATTCGAAGTTTGGACAGTGTTGGTTTCGTCGGCGTTTTGCTCCGTCATCGGAAATTGGAAGGAACTCCGGCCAGTTGAACTCAACGGAGGGAGAGTTGAAAGTTGTTTTACTTTGGGGTTTAGAGAAGTTGAAGGAGAAGAGGGTTATTGGGCCAAATAGGCCCAACTCTTTTGGGCCAATCTAAACCACATCAAAGTCATTCTCAATGTTTCTCTAGCCCATTAATTTAGGAGCGAATCCGTTGATCTTTACACGAATAGTCAGATAGTATATTGTTCACTTTTTCTGGTCGATATACATAGATTATATACTCGTACATATATTATACATACAGTTACTATTTTTAGTTTAGTCATTTAGGTGGATGGATATTTAAGTTAATTTTACGTGATTGAATTTGATTTAAAGCTCGCAGTGTATTATTATTTTTAATATAAGAGGCAGGATAAGGAGAAATAGGGGGACGATTGCAAGGTGAAAAATCAAGTTTTCACCAACAAGGTCAAATTTCAAGTATTCAACAAAATGTGCTACTAAGATCCATTAAAGCGCATATACAGTTGATTTACACAAATGAACCTTTTTTGGGAACCGTTTGTATATTTTTTTTCTCTTTTTCAATTTTAACAATTATGTGCATATGTCAATTCTTCCTATGGCAAAATTAAAACAAAAACAATTAACTATAAAGTGAATAAATGTATGTTGGAACAAAAGAGTACTTTCATTTCACATAAGTGGATATCCAATGAAATCAAATTTAAAAAAAACAAGAATTTATTTATTTTTGCATATTTACAACCAAATCAATATATATAAAGATACAAGACACACCATCCTCAAATTAATCCCTTCACAAACTCCTCTAAATCTTTAGAAACACACATTTTACATATTATTACCCCCACAAATGAATAAAAAACCCAACCAAAAGAGAATTACAAGTCATTTTCGCTCCGAAAGTCTCACATTAAACAATAAAACGTTTTCTAATAAAAAAGAACTCCACACTCAGTACTCAAACTCAAAACCTATAATAAAGCTTCAATTAACAAATCTACAATCACGCCTTATTTCTTGACCAGAACCACTGATACTACTCATCTTAATCATCGAATCAGCAAAAGCTTTAAAGAACTCGTGCTGGGAATTGGCAAAATTCGAAACAAGTGTTTTGGTTCTTGAATTTGTGAGTAAATTTGAATCCGAAGAAAACAGACCTTTCTTTTGCAATACTAACTTATAATATGCGTTATCGAATAAAAATGTCGTAGTATCCATCGTAGCCCCTGCATTTTCTGTTGTGTTTTTAACGGGGCATATTTTCTTTAAATTAGCTGCAAATGATGCGTCTAGTGTTGGATCGACGTCGTTTTTGCTATCGAAGTTTTCGATTCTGTTTCGGAAGGATGAACAATGAGAAAATCCAAGAGTGTGTCCTCCTGAATATGAAAAAAAACAAAAATATTTATATAATCAGATTACTTTGAATGCCCCTAAACTCGCATTGGATTTTAAAGTATTAAAATGGAAAAAAGAGAGTTGAATGGTGGAGTTCAAATTCAATAAAAGTTTAAGGGGTATTTTGACGATTTTGAACTATACTCAACTTTGTCTTAGTATTTTTTATTATATATAAAGTCATTAAACTATTTTTCGTAAGCAAAATATTTGTCAAATTTTCCCAAGGATCACAAAAAGTCATTTTACAAAAATGAATTACATTTTAGATATAAAAGAACGATTCAGTGACTTTTTGTGATACTAAGGTAAATCTAAGTGATTTTTTTTGTTACAAAAACAATTTAGTGTCTTTTATGATATTAAGATAAAATTGAATGTTTTTTTTTCATTATTAGAAATAATTTGGTAATTTTATTACGATATAGTAAAAATTGAGTGATTATACGTGAAATTAACTCGTAAATTATAGAGAGTGTTTACCTGAAAGTGCAACCAAATCATCCAAAGAAAGGCCTCTTTGGGAGAAGCTTTGTTGCAATTGAGAGATGTTGGAATTTGGGCCAGGTAATTGTCTTGTTTCACTGGCTATAGAAATTCGTCCATCTTTTCTACCTTTTGGTACGGCCCAATAAGGTCCACCAGACTAAAACAATTGGCCCAATAAATAATTTCAACATTAGTCTTCATAACCTCTAGAAAATAACATTTATTTATAATAATGATGAAATGGGTTGAGAATTATCGGAATTCAGGTTTAAATTCTAGCAAAGGTAAGAATACTAGGTGATATTTTCTTATCTGTCTGAGTCTTGATAGACAGAGTTACTAGATATGTATGTCAGTGAGAGGTAACATATACCCCTTAGGATTTAGACTAGTCGAGGTGCACACACAAACTGACCAACTAGAACACCATGATTATAAAACATGCATTTGTGCATTGTCTACATATTTTGAAAGTAAGTTGTCGTTTGGCGGAAGGTGTTAGAGAAACTAAACAATAATGTATTAGCTCTTGTTTGATAGTGTTTTCAACTTATATATAGTTGCATTAGTTATACACTATTTTAAGTATTATTCTTAACATAGTAAACCATGACATTATTAATACGATGGTGGGGTGGGGTGGGATTACTATTTCTATTCTAGTACACCCTATTCAATTAATACAACTAATCAAACGATCGACAAATGATGATGTCAACACAACTAATTCCAACATTATTAAACACCTTATTTGGTGTTATTATCATACACACTATCAAATGATCCCTAATAGTTACGTGATATTATTGTAGCATTGTATTCTTCTTCATTTTGTTTTAAATATAGTTTTCTATGACACAAATTCAAATTAGTCGAGTCAGTAAATTTCACACGCCGAAAATTTAAAAAGTTGTAGAAGAACTCACAAGAGTGACAGCATCTCTAGCTGCAAGAGCCAAAATATCAGCACAAGAGACAACGTTAGGGCACATATTTTCAATTTGTTTCTTAGCAACGTCAATAACATAAAACGAATGTAATGAAATATTTGGAGGTCCATCTTTCTCTGCTTGGTTGCTTTTTGTCGAATTCAACAGCACAGACCCATCACAACCCTTCATAAAAATTTAAGGCAAAAAATACCATAAGTTAGTTAATAATTAATTACCATATAGTATATACTATGTCCTAATATTACAACATAAAATAATCATCTTAAATGAAAGTACATATTTTCACGTGATAGTGTAAAAGATATTTATACAATAATTATATATAACCGGCTATATGAATTTGATTATATCGCTCAATCTAAACTCATCTTAATTGATTTACATGTAAATAAATTAACATTATATCAGTCATCTAAGAGGTAAACATTGTTCCCTTTAAGGGAGTTTTTTAGCCCTTTAAGTTAACACATTGTTCCCTCTATGATGAAATTCTTCTTCCTCTTTGATTTTACGATATTATTCTAGCAAAAGCTAGTGATTAATTAGCTGACATTATATCGTATCTCGATAATATATAACCAAATAAAATGATAGCTAATACTATATACTATCATGAGTTAAACTACATAGATTAATAAAGTACAATATTTAAAAAAAATTGTTTATATATAGGAGTAGAAATAAATTTTACGTACCCTGACGAAACAATCATGGAAGTGCATCCTTAATAGAGCAGCTGGAACTGTTTTATCATTTGACATTGCTTTTTTAACAACTTGTCTAATAGTTGATTCTGCATCTGGACATGTTTGATCATAGTAATTGGAGCTAAGTGCATTTACACATGAAAATAACACAAAAATAATTACAAAAACAACAAGAAATCTTTGTAATGCCATCAAAATTATCAGAAATTGAAAGCTTATAGTATATTGTTTGTGGTTAATTGAGTGTGAGAGTTAAGGAACTATGCTATGAGTATTTAAAGGGAAAACATAAGAGGAAAAAATTTAAAAATATATGAAAAGTTGTTACTAGAATCTAATCATATGTTTGTTAGCAAAGTTTGGTAACAATTAAAATTGGAGTTGTTAGTTAACACATTTTTTTAAAAAAAAAAAATAACTTAGTTCTTGTCTTGAGCAAAAAAAAAAAAAGATCCAAATTCTAATTTTAATTTTATTGGCAACTAAGACACAAAGGGGAAAACCAATGGTTGCTTAATCCCCACATGGGAATCAAGATTAACACATTTTTATTTAATTCTATATATATATTAGACATGTTCATTTTCTTGAGCCAGGTAAAACAAATCTCAGTTCCGATAATTAGGGAAATAATTACCCATTTTAATTTTGTTTTGGAAACTTAATTAGAGAGAAAAAGATTTAATTTATTAATCAATTTGAGCCTGTTTTTTTATTGTCTTAAACAATAATAGTTTCTCGATTTTCATATGGGTGTTAGCCAATTAAGCAAGTGCCATGTTCATTTGTTAAGTAAAAAACGATAATCATCCATTAAAATTTTGTTTGCAAAAAACTGGGAGTTAGTCAAGTGAATATTGTGGTAATTTTTACGACTTTAATTTGGTACGAAAACTAAAATCCAATGACAACACAAATTATTTTTTACCCACGGTCAGTATTCTTCAGGTGCACTTTGGGTGAACCTGTTCGAATGTAATAACTTGCCAATCACACAAAAAAAAATATAAATCGTATTAGACAAACTTATGTGACGAGCTTAAAAAAATTCCAATTAGTTTTCATTTGAAATATAAGTTGTCTCAATTTCTAAACCAACTAAAAATAATGCAACCACTTTTCAAAATTTCCAACTTTTCATAATTATTAAAAACGGTTCTAATAATTAATCATCCATTTTATTTTTGTTTGCAAAAATTGGGGAGTTAGTCAAGTGAATAAGTGGCTCATACGCTAATCGATTCAAGATTTAAAAAAAATTGTGATAAATATTTAAGACTTCAATAAGATAACTTACGTAAAATTAAAGTAGTATGATATAGAGCGTGTTTGGATTGACTTAAAAATTGATCAAACCTATTTTTAAGTCATTTTTAGATTTTTGGAGTGTTTTGGCAAGGTTAAAATAACTTAAAATAAGTTTTAAATGACTTAAAAAAAGTTTAAAATAAAAAAGTAGGTTAAAATAAAAAATAGGACTCACCCTACTTTTTTATTTTTT